CCTAAATCTCCGAAACCCGAATACTCCAAAGGCCGAGAACGCACTTCTGATTCCTTGGGTGTTGTTGATATCTATGAGAGGCGCCCTTACTCAAAAAGACTGTGGTTTAATTGCTAACTGCCATGATCACAAACAATACAAGAACAAACATTTTTATGATTATGCAATAATAAGCCGTATACACACAATCGACATAGACGAAAATACACTTAATGTTTACTCATTAACCCATTTTATCGACATTCAACAAGTCACTCAAGCGGCCATAAAACTCACTTTCGTACAAGTAGGTAGGTATACTTACAATAAGGCCTATATTTCTACATAATCATATGAGATTACCTCAGTAGGGATGTAAGCGAGGTTATAAAAGGCTTATAAATTTCCCACCCATAGTGTTTCTGTCAGTTCTCTAGAAAGCCTTGTCGTAGAAAGGCTAGCAATAATGTTTTTTAATAATCCTTATGTAATATTAATTATTGTTTAAGACTGTTTCTTTTAAATGTATAGACGGATTAACATTTTTGTATGGCCATTTTGGTCATTATTTAGAAATGAAAATTGTTTTTTTTTTACGTCTTCGTCGGTATGGTTGTCACAGTCGAGTTAACAAATCTAGATACGTAAATTTCAGGTTGAAGAAAGTCTTTACCTACCTAAACATAATTTTTCTCAAGTCATTTGTTGAAAGTCTCTTTCTTTCAAGAACGTGGAAATTATAACGAGTCTATCAATGGTCTTTTTAATGCTACTTAATTTGTTTAAAGATTTGAGCTTCCAATCCTCCTAAGCTTAGTATCAAAAACAGTGTGTACATCGACAATTTTGCGCAGTGTTACATACTGAGAGGTCGTTAGGACCGAGGATTTTCAAATATTGCTAAGTTTTCTAGCGGTCTAGGACAAGATCGGTACTTATTAAGGCAACCTTTCTAAGAAGTTTATTAATATTCTTTAATATATCTTTAATATTCTATAAATGGGCCCAGACTCATTCCAGCCCAAAGTAACCACGTTCCATCTGAAACTAAAATAACCCTAAACTAATTTTGGTATTTATTGGGTAGTAGAGTTTCTTAGTTAACAAAGATGTATATCAAAATATAATTCTCTATTTATATTGAAAAAAATATATATCAATTAAGATAGAAATATAGATATAATTTAGTATTTTCTTCCTTCAAAAGCGAGTGAGAGTACAAGATATTGCACTTTGTTGCCGGCACACAAGTCACGTCAATCACGATTTTCATTTAATTCCCGCCTCAGTAATAAATACTTTTTACACTACACCACGAGGCTACGAAACAGCTACGCCGTAGCACTCGTAGCAACCACAAGCACTATATCGCGTTCTTTAAAAAAAAATAACTAGAACAATTCCCACAAAAGGGAACCATTTTAAATATTAAAGTGCAATCCAAAGTAGCGGAGATATGAAGCGCAGTCGTAACGGAGTGAAGTGATCCTTTCATAAAATATTAGCTTTGTGCGAAGGTAATCCCACTAATGGGCCCTGGTTGGGACGCGCGAGGCTAATTACTAAAATGGCCTACGCCCGACTTATTAGCTTTACTGTGAGTACGTGAGCATCGCTGAAAATTACAATTTACAATTACTGTTTATATATGTACGTAGTGTGATTAAATTATGTTTCTTTATTGCCTCGTAGGGTTGTTATGAAAGCAATGTTGGCTTCTTTATTTAATATCGCGCTTATTTTTATTACTCAGGTACTGACATTATTATGTTTTACATTTATTTTTTATTACCTTCTTTCACACATTTTACTTTGCTTAACTTGCTGCATCAGTCGTGAGTTTTAATTTGACGATTTTACTAAGTATATGCAATGTCATCAATTTAAAAACAGAAACTTAAGTGTGAGAGGGCCATGTTCCAACACGAATGGGCTGACTCTGCCGGATTGGTACCACGGTATCACTGAATACCGGCTTGAAGCAACGCTTTAGTTGTGCTTCGCTGTGTGAGTGAGGTTAAATCCCTATCTTTATATTCTCAAATCCCCTATCCTTAAATTCCTAATAACGTACAAAAGGCCGGCAACGCACTTAAAGTTACACCTTTGGCATGGCGACTTTCCATAGGCGGCGCTGATTACTTACCATCCGGTAATACGCCAGCTCGTTTGCCGACATATGCCATAAAAATCAAAATTACTTACACAGATGAAAAATGTTAACAAGGATACTGTTACTGTTTTCTCCTACTGATTACGTCCACCCGTTCAGCAGTTCGTTCAATTGGATTGCAAATTAAAGAGTACGTCTTTGAATAATCAACAACGGCTTGATTGATGAAACAATCTTAACTACCAATTGAGTGCTCAATCAAATCCTGGAATTACAGGTTTTTTATTTAGGTAAAATCTAAATAAAGCAGTTTCATTTTATTTGTGATATTCTTTTTCCAAATATACCTTTATAATAAGTCTTTACTTATGAAATTGCCGTTCTGCAGTACTGGCCATTTGAAATCAAAATAGTTTTTGTTAGGGGCTAAGGCTAATTAATTTTGTTTTAAAAACATGGGATTCTTTTTCCAAAAGTAGTCATTTGTTTATTGATTAGTGTTACATTTTCATCGCATTTCTAATCAAAAAATTCGTTTAAATTTTTTCATGCAAAACGGCAATATCATAGGTAAATAAATACCTATTATATGTACCTATATACCTTATACTTATACCAAATATACCTTATATTATTATAAAGATCTCGTTTTTTTTTACTTACCTTCATAATTCGTACAAATACAGATCCACGTTACAAATATGCGTATCTACCCACAAAAATCCGCAAATTACGAAAGAAAATAACGGCCCCCACAGTACAGCCCGAAGGCAATTCAAATGAGTTTCCATTTCGTCGGCATAAAACGTAGGATATTTAATACTTTCCAGAGTTAAACTCAAATAGAAAAAAAAATACACAAAAAAGTTGCAATACTCGTTAATCTTCTTTGGATAAAATGGACAGCAACTTTTAGACAGAGCCTTTGTAATTATATACAGAAGTTCCTACAACGTAAACTTGGTAAGACAAGTTTGGGCCAATGTAAGCCAAATTCGGTCGAAGTGAGTCTACAAAACTGGGAAACTTGAACAACTTAGCTGTAGTTTGAAAATTGCCTAAATTTAATTATTGTATACAAAAGGTATTTGCTTTGCACAGTACCGTACTGGACTGAAGTTTAGTTTAACGCCACTGATTTGATTAATCTGGTTTTATTTTGCTTGGATTAAGATTGCTTTTGCTTTTAACGCTGTTTGTAAAAGACAGGAAAATAAATGAATCAAGGCATGTCTTAATAAAGTCAAATTAAAAATCATTAATTATTTCAATAAGACCCTGCCTGCCTGAGGCAGAAGATAAAAAGTGTCGGTCTGTCGGTCTGTCCTCTGGTGAAGCTATTTTACTCGCTTCAAAGTGTAGATTCCGATTCCGAGTGGTTTCTTTTTTCAATGTTTTTTTCTTTTTCAAATTTGTACCTATCTAAAATCTCTTCATTTTATTAATAAACCCATACGAAGGACGACCGTCACTGTTTTATCTACGATTAAGGTCAGTTTCGCGCTGATACGATCTAAGTACATCCTTTAACTAAAACCAATCATAAGGAACTGTCCTTTTCACATACCCAAAAGGACAAGAAAAAACAAAACACAAAAGTTCAATATGAAAAAAATAATTTATTAGATTAAAGTATAAAAAATTATAACTCATTGTTAAAAAAAATGAGAACTTATAAAATAACTATACATATCACCCTCAAGATAATATACAAGGTACTTAGGTACAGAGATAGTCTCAGGTAAGTAGGTGCAGGTATAGGTACAAACCGATATGTAGGTACATAACAAATTCATTTTTATACAAAAATTGCCTTTTACACACAATTTTGTACAAATGTGATGCTTAAAGTGATATCAGCGCCTCTATCGGCCGATTGTGGAACCTTTCAATGCAAAATTCAGGTTGTTCTTGATATGGTTGGTAAAGAAGTCATTTCATAGGGCTTTCAGAAAAGAATATTAAAAAACGACATCTAGAAATAGGTTTTAAGTATTCGCTCTCAAATCGGCCAACAGATTCAACCAGAGAAACGAATTGTAAACAAATCATATTTCATTTTAACGTTAAAGGAACAACGTTACACGTCAAGTTAAACTTTTCTACGTTCCCTATCACATACATTAGTTACTAGAAACATTTATTAAACTGTAAAAACTACGACACATATGCAGCTACAAGAATAAGGTAGATTTTTAATAAAGGCGACTAGTATTTGGAATTTATTGAGACAAATTTTTAATACTGAATTAGGTAATTTGATTATCAAATACTTTATTTTGTAGCCTTTATTAAAAACCTTAGTTTGCACAAAGCTTTAAGACTTTCAATAATCCAAATACACATAATTTATCAGCGTTATAAGTGATAAAGGGAGATGCTAAAGGATTAATTCTTCATGGCACTCAAGAGGCATATTTTATCACCATCATAATAATATATGTAGGTACCCAACAAACCCATCTGTTACATAGTTCGTGAAAATTGCGTTCTGCCTTTCTAAAATGCCTACTTTTGCGAATAAAGATTTTTATTTCATTTTAAACATATCTGGTTCATAGCGGGTATTCAAACATTGTGGAACAAGCCTTAAAAGCCTCTTCTACTTTTAAAGCAGACCAGCAGACTGCAATAAAGGCAATGGTTTCACAGAACAGCGTCGCTAGCAAGAATTAAAATTATTATGCTCATTAAGAATTTGAGAGTTTCATAGTCCAAAAATAAATTATTTTGACTTTCCAATGCAATGAATAATAAAAATATAATTCGTGCTTTCATTCAATGATTTCATAATATACTTTAATAAAAGTCCACCTATTTATTAAAGAAATAAATATTTCATTTGACGTAATTTGTTGCGTTTCCATACTAAATTCATAAAAATCATTTTTGACATTAATTATATGTATTGAAGTTGACTAGTGGGAGACTATCATATTCGCTTGTTATTGTCAAACAACAGACCAATCTTTTAACAGAAACAGTGATAAGATTAACAGAACTTCATACTACATAAACAATTTAAGCATTTGACTGCCGACAAAAACTGTTTAAGGCTAACCCTCCACTAGCGTCGGACACCATTGTCCGACATGGCGTTCTATCAAAAAATATATAAATACGGTGAGCACAGTCGCTGTAACCGTGTAAAAGTTATAAATATAATATTTTGGCTAGAACAATTTGTAACTGCATATGTAAAGTATACTAAGCATGTGTGCGACAGGCGTTTTGAAAATGTCAAGCACGAAATATTCTATGCACAATGCACTCCACCACGCTATTGCTTAACATAGATAATAAACGCAATGGAATGTTCACATAAATAACTTTCGTGTTTGATATCTTCTTTGTATTACAAAAATGTATGAGTATTTGTGAAAAAGTATATGCAATTCGCTTATACTGATAGTATTGCTATCCTTCATTCGCATTAGAGGTTTGAAAGAGACGCAGTGAAGATTTCGTAGCTTATTTTCAGCAAAATACAATCAGTTTACAATACAAAGCAAATGCGACCTTATTAATTCATTCTAAAGTCTAGATTAAAATTTTGTTCATTTCATTAAATATTTAATATAACATGGGTAACTTTTGTTCTGTTAAGACTTGTACATTTGAAGATTCTGCCTTTCGTATAAAGAGCAGCAGTAAAGATATTTCATAAAACCGCTATGTAACTGCCTATCTGCTGAATGCTGCCAAATTCCTACAACTACGCGATTATATTAAAAGATAGTGCATCGGCAACGTGGCCATTACAAACAAAATATATCATAAAATATCTTGACAGCTTTTGAGCTTGATGTATAAATAAATATATAAAATTTAATTGACTATCACAATTATACGTAGGCCTTTTAAAAACCTCAACTGATTTCAAATCACATAGTGATTCTCGAATATTGTTTCGCGATTATCACAATCAAAATAGATATTTAGCAGGCAAAGTCCGGTGTTTGTGTAATGTTTACAACTGCCGGGCAACGCGTATTTATCGAATTATTTATTGTACTAACTTCGACAATGTTGGCAACGCCCGAATGACGCCCACATTCAACGAACTTTACCCGCGACATATACAAATAACATATTACAAAATAATAATAATAATAAAATCACAGATTCCCGCGCAACGCTACTGCAAGAATTTGTATTTCAAAGTTACACTTTTGAAATATTTAAAACATTGTTCTATACGTTTTATTTAAATTTAAAACTACAATATAATGCTGTAACTTTATGGCAAGTTTTAATAATTTACTAACATCGATCGATTATTATGCATTTTAGCGATATTCCCTACGATTATTATAATATACGATCAAAATAAATTAGTTCCCGGATTTTCCCAACGGGGTATTAAGTTAATCATTAGCCAATACTGCGCGGGTTATTAAAATTCCGCTTTGCGACAATTCATTGTTCGACTACCAACAATAAATTTCATGCCTCAATTTTTTCAATGTAAATTATAAGAAATTTCGTGCCACGTAGCTACCTATTACCGTACAAGAGCTGCAATTTAGATTCCTTCATCAATAAATAGTATTCATTCATAGGTACCTAATACAATACGGAACACAGCCGAAACCGACTGATATTTACGTAAGCAGACTTTGGTAATATAATAATTTGTAAGTATGAACTTTGAGACAGTTGCATGCTTAGAGAAAACGTCACGGATGCAATTATTAGCACTATATTTAAGAATAGAATAGATGACGCAATATGACAGAGACTTAACGTGTCATGGCGTCTCACACGAGTTGAAGTTTGAATCGTTCAAATGACGAATTTGGTGGCAACGAACGCATCGCTTCCGCACATTGGCATTCCATTCATTTACTACTCGATGACGCAAGCATATTGCACTTAGGACCTACTGATCCGACGCGACGTATTCGTAGAAATTCCGATCACATATCAACGTCGTAAATATACCACGTCATATTAAGAGTGCGTATTAAAAATTGTGATTACTATCGTAACATTTAGCAAAAATTTAAAGAAGATACACAATGAATTTTCTACCACGTATAAAACTACCATTTTGGTAGTTAAGCCAGCTTTCTTTTAAATCGGCAACATTATAGTTGAAGTTCTACTAATTGCCGATTTTTCCTTGGTTTCTTGGCTTTGAATGCCAGAACTAGCTGATAGGTGTAGAATACCTTTGATTTCTTGTTTCAAGTTAACCAGTGCGTGGAATCCCACGGCCTTTGGGTATGTTACCCGTAGCTAAGGCCATATCTAGCGGCCACTTGTGGCGTATGAGTACTGGCCACGGCTAACAACAGTGGGACGTCGTTGACGTCGATGTTCAGAGACTTGGTCAGCGTGGCGATGTCACAGAAGTCGGTCGACATCAACATGTCAGCTAGTGTCTTCGATAGCACGCAGAATTCACGGAGCTTGCTCTCCAAGAATGATATGCACTGAAATAGAAAAATTGAAACGTTAGTATCAACATTTTATGTTATTTTTATTGATTTTTTTTTGTGAGGGGAAAATCATGTGTGTCAGACTCTTACTTACTAAAAACCCCCTGTTCCTACTCCTGCTCTAGGCCGAGGTCGCGGTGCCTCATTGCGCTTACCCCGCAACCCCAGCATTTTTATTGATTTAACGGTCGCAAGTATCGTAAGTCGAACATAAGAGAAAGACCTTTTACAGGTAAAAAGTTCGTTAAGATTTTTTTCCGAATAACGATTCCAAGTGATGGCAAACAAAATTGTCTTCTGAAATAGGTAATAAGAAAGGACTATAATTATTTACCTGTTGCGCAGGCACCTTAGCCTTCCACATGGCAGGTAACGTATCCAACATGGCGCCCACTAGCGACGACATTCCACTTGAACCGCAATCCCTGCCTATTACCCGCACTTCCCTATAAAAATAACACAGTTAATAAAACAATAGCAAGATACAGGTACACATATTTAGTTTATAATATCGACGACTTCGTTAAGTCGCCTAGGAAAATTTTTATGATTTCTATCTAGAAGAGGCTGGAAAGTAAGGCTACTTTTTTGTTGACCTCGACAGGGCCAGTGTGAAATGCGTGTATTGAACTTATAAAAGAACAAAACTTCTATTCTTATCGGGCAGTGAGTCTATTTCTCGTCCGTTATCGAATCCAAACAATATAGGAAGGCAGAAAATAATGTTACAAGTAAATTTTAATCTGCAACTTACCAAGAACTAATGTCTCCCACGATGGCGACTGCTTGTACCGGTGACTCTGCAGTCTTATTGATATACGACGTCAGATCCAAGTCGCGACGTAACTCAGGCTCCCAAGCGGCCGGCTTGGCGATTGTTCCTGGAATAATTGGTTTATTTATAAAGTCAGGATCTCCCATAAAATATTTCGAATATTGAGGGAAAAAGCTTTGATTTAAAAGTCTCAATGTCAAGAGCTAAAACTGAGGTTCGAGGAATGACTACCATGACTGGTTTCGCAATAAAATCTTAATAATCTCAATGATTATAACTACAGCTTTATAATATTAGAATATTCTCGCGTGGTAACCCGCTGCTCTGCTCCATTTGATCGTAGCGTGATGTTTTACAGCATATAGCACTCAGAAACATTGTAGCTATCTATGAAAGATTTTGGCAATCTAACCAGCGGTCCCACATATAACCCCCTACATACAAACTATAGATATCTAGGATTGCACAATATGATGACGTACCTTGTAAAACTAGATCAGGTACATAATGGTCGGTGAGCCCCCCGAGCAGCGAGGCATGGTACCCGGCGCGCGGCCCGCAGCCCCCGCAGAGGTCGCCCACCGGGAACTCCACGACTTGCTTCACGTCCACCAGCTGCTCACTCGCCTTCTCCCTCCCCCGCAACCTCCGCTCAGGCTTTTTTGGTTCACACACTTCTTCCTTCGGCTTCACGTTAACAACGACTGTATTTTCCTTCCGCTGCCTCACAAACGTCTTGGGTGCCTCTCTCTCGGGCGAAGGCTCCACGATGGTCTCCCTGGCGTACTGCGGCTCTATCTGCCTCGGCATGTCGTTCATGTACTCCATCTCCGAGGCGTTGGTGGGAGTCTGCAGCATGGACTCCAGCATCTGGCACTTGACGCACGTCTCGCACCGCTCCTCCTGTATCGGCGGCACGACCGTCGGGTCAAACTGGAAGTTGTCCAGCTTCAAATTCCCCGGTTTACCGATATAGTGTCTATCTAATATCTCTAAGTTTTTGCTCTTCATATAATTAGTGACTATCTGAGGGTACTTATCGAACTCGAACTTAAAACCGGAATGTTTGATTGGTTTGGAATGTTGAAGCGTTTGCCCGCAGCATTTAGACGGGCTGTCGGCCCGTTTGTCCTGCTCACAGCCATCTTTCTTGCACGGTTCAGTCGTCTTCTCAGGCGCATCAGGGGTAAGAGGCTCATTCTGGATTTTGGAAGATTTTTTCACTGATTTGCCGTCAGCAGACTTGTTCTTGAGCCCAACCAATTTATCGTTGTCACCCAACACAAAAACTACTTTCTTTTCCTCCGTCTCGTTCTCCGAAAGCGACGAATTTAGACTAGAATCCGAAGAAGCTTTTAACGACAGCATCATGGTTGGGTTCCTCTTGAGCAGGCTGGTAACTGGAACGTCACTCGTTGAACTACAGTCTACTCCTGCGAACTCGGAGCTATTAGAGAGCTTTTGACCTAAGTTGGCGAGCGTGGACGATCGCTTGATGCTGACCTCGCTAGCCGCTAATGTACTGACACTACTATCACTGTTCTGAGTATTCACTGACGGCACTGTTAAACTGTCTGTTTCGCACTGTTCCAGCTTGTTGACACGCGTGGCGACCCTCTTGAGGCCGGTAGGCGGGGGAGTGACGTTGACGACTTTGGTTTCCTTAAGTGTGCAGTCTTGGAATACGAAGTCGTTACGTCTGACGTCACCGCAGCGCACGAAGTAGGTGAGCACGACGAGCAGCTTGTTGAGGAACTGCGTGTTGTTGGAGCCGCTGATGATGGTGCGGGCGGTGCGGGGAGGGAAGCCGATACTCCCGCAGAGGTCGCCGAGCTGAGCCCATAGTGCGTTGTAAGGTTTGGCCTCGGCTGCATCCTGTGGCCTCGCCTGGTGGTCGATGGTGTCGTACGGGCTCACGGTGGCCACCCAGCCGAGGTGGTAAGTAAGCACGTGCGTCAGAAGCGTGCTGATGAAACTGTAACGACAAAAAAGTCCTTATTAGGAGATCGCGTGCAGTCACGACTAAGTACGCTAATCATTATCAATATTTGAGTTGGTTTTTAACAGATCACGATTAGCAAATCCAAACAATTAGATAATAGGATTATGACGCATAATAAACCAATATTTAACAACAGCTAATAGAAAATGCAGACTTATTTACGTAAAGTAACCTTCGAATCAATATTAAATATTCATAAAAGATATCGTTGAAATTGTTACTCGACGCTAGACCAATGTTTGAGTATCATTAATTGGTTGAACTTAATCTATAACCAAATTAAGCAAATAAAATAAAATAAAAACTAAAGTACTAGAAAAAGAATCTTTTACATTCAAGTAATTGCTTCTAAACGTGTTGAAACTATAGCCAGAATATGTATTTCTAGCTGTGTGAACTCTTCCGCAGACCCATGTTGCACAACAATGTTGGGCAATTCGTACAACAGACGTCAATCTATTAAAAAAACATTCCGTATCACGTGAGTATAACACGTAAACATTACGACGGAAATAGCTAAGTAACGTACCTGACTAACTTCCAAAAAACAGACTAATGAAATAAGACAGATCTCCATTCACACTTTGTTTCCGTTCAAATAAATGATGGCGAGAAAATGCGCCAAATTGTGTGCATAGTGTTTTCGTGTTTTTTTTTTATTTATCTGTCATTAATCGGAGGCATTGGACACGTTCCAGACGTTCCGAAAAGATAGCACCGTCTGGATCCGAGATTGATTATCAAATCTTATATAATTGTCGCGTGGGTGGGCTTTGATATAAAATATGACTAATGAAACCAATGTTTTGATTAAGAAAAATAATGGCCAGCGTATTTAAATTTGTTATGAGATTTTTATAGATATGTCGTCGTATTTCTGGATATAATGAGCTTAAGCATTTTCGCGGCAGTTAAGCGTGATTTTCTTTTAAATTTCAATTGTAGTTCTATTACGTAAAGTGTGAAATATCGAAAGTTCTAAGAGATTTTTCCAGATTTCAAACTTAGTTGTTTGCGGCTGTGTAATAGATGTGAGCGTGTAAACTAACATACCTATAGACTAAATAAGAAATGCGAAAATATCTTAATTACGTACGTTTGCAAAATATTACATAATACTTGGGTATAGCTCAGGTGAGAAGAGCTTTACAAAAATCATGTGATAGTGTTTATTCCCAGTTATCTGAACACACCACCGTGTACGTACGGACGTCTATCTCGTACGTTGAGTTGTAAAATATATCTATCGCCTACACATCACGAGGAAATAATAAAACTCTAAACACGAGCGATTTCACGGTTTTAAGTATCTCTGTAGTGAAATATTTGCCAATTTTATACGAAAATTTATGTGACACATGACGAAAATCATGATTTATTAGAAGATGGTTTGTTTTAATTATGAACTTAATAAAACAAATATAACTCGTATAACATCACGCTTTCAAACTCCCTTAAATAATAGACAGACATACACGTACTAATTTCTATATTTTACTAGCAGACCCAGCCACGCGTTGCTGTGGCTATTGTGACTATAAATTGAGATGTAAGCTATCCTATCTTTCAAGTCGGATCAAAATGCACACGGAATGCAAATCAAATGTAATCAGGTTTAGTAGTTTAGGAGTCCATCGCGGACAAACACGTGACACGAAATTTTTATATATAAAGAAGATAATATGTGGTAGGAAGCTAACGACCTGCCAAAAATTGTTGTTGATACATATTACTTTTTTAAGATTTCGAAAACACGAGTGGCGTCAAATGATCGTAAACGGAAACAGGCAATTTAGCACAAGTCAACAATACACTGCCCACATGAACACCAAAGTGACTAAATGTACAGAGCAATTAAAATCATCAGATCACTTATGTGCTAAAGAATTTACAAGAATATTCTTCGGAAATGTAAAGTTCTATAAAAAATCGTATCGATGTTGAAAAACGTAATAAAAAAAAATTGGAACTGTACTGAAATGTTATACGTATGAAATTCACTTGAAGAATGTTAGTGGGTGGCATCATTACAATTTACGGTGTTGCCATCAACATTTTCAATCTTTTTTCCACATCATGTTTGATTAGTTTGTTTGTTCACACCTACATGTAGTTTTTTTTAATGAAGAGTTCTTTGAGATCTGTTTCTTCATGTGTGTATTGGCACGGACTAAACTTACTCTGGGTAATAAACAAATGGACGTTGTATAACTTGACTAATGATAACGTGCACAATTGTTAAGCACATAATATCCGATACTCAATCTGACCAACTAAGCCGTAGTTATTTACTAGATTATTCGTATTTTTAGTAATTAATTAATAACAGAGCTAACTAGCACCTACATTTTTGATAACCAAATTAGAATAACGAACCCGTTGGCGGTATTGTGATAGGTTAAAAACACAGTACCACCACCGGGTCTCACTTTAATATTTTTACTATTTATAACAGAAGTAGATTAATAGTTTTAATTTTCGCCCATAGACAAACAGTTAAACCGGTTTTGTGGGAAACTGAAATAAAAAAATTAAAAATGTAATAAATAAAAATAAAATATACTATTTCAATTCCTCAAACTACGCAACGGTCGTATTATTCCTAATATGGCGCTGGAATTTAGTGAATATCTAAAATATTTACCTAAGAAATATATCAACGAATACACATTTCATGTTTATTGATTTATTATTCAATGTGTATTTAAAATATTACTGTTTCCTATTTGCTTCCAATTCTCGAACACATGTAATAAATTGGGTGAAGATGTGCTAATCACTTTTCTCGTTTTTTTCGACTATGAGTCATCATTTAGCGACGCGTCTAGTCGTGAAATCGCATTTAGTGTAAAGATTAATCTTATAAACGATACGTACTATTTTTCAATTTATTAATATTGAATTAAAAAATGGAGATCGCCACAATGTTAGAATCGTTACCCGAAATTTGTAATAGATTAAAGAAATTGTATTTTTTACTGATTTGTATTTTAATTTGTAAAAAGAACTTATTTCAAAAACCTTACAATTTAAAAATAGAACACACTTTACTAAATAAATTCGTTCTTTATTTCAAAATAGTAAATTAAAAAAAAGAATAATAAAATGTGACTGACAATTAAATTGACATTTTTATTTTCGCATTAGAGAACATACTTAACCCTTTACAGATTTTATTGGTGTACTATAATTGATTTACGACGTTACATGTTTTTCTATTGTCGTACTAATCTGTTCCGTTGTGCGTAACCTAACATCATGTGATTGAATTAAATCAAGATAAAAATAACTACCAGTTACTGGGCAAATATATTTGAAGGTAGAAAGCGTAGAATTAGAATACATTCTTATTCAGAATGTTTTCTAATTAGTAAACAAAGCTAGGAGCGCGCTAGATGCTTAAAAATTTTAAGATTTATTATTGGATGATTTCAGAAGTTATAGATATTCTATTACTTTTAAAATATTTGCTTTTCTCTTAGTAATAATAGGTTATAAGATGTGTGATGTAAACGTATGTGTAAATTGACTTATTATCAATTGAGCTATCCGAAACAACTACGAGCAATAACGGCAACAATAAATTAAGCTTACAGGCTTACATAGAATCTCATATATTATGCATATTATGTTCGAATTACATCGTAAATAATGCTTTATTCAAATAAACCTTAATCCTATAGTAATAAGGGTTGTAAATATAACATTTATCCCTAAAAATATAGTTAGGATTTACGCTTCAAAAACAGAACGTCAATAGAGAATTTCATTCATTTCAATTTTGCGTGGGTATAAGAATACTACAATTTATTTGTATAGATGTTATAGTGCAAATATATTTCGTCTAGTAGAAAATGGGGCTAACAACCTACGCTAGAATAGAGTAGAGTACGAATCACTATTTTTTATATAACCCGGGTTTATATTAGTGACTAATGAATTAATAGCTTCTGATTCGTGGTTGGGTAAAACCTAGTTTTGCTATAGACTTTTATGTTTATTTGTTATGGAATGGAATGAAGTGATACTGGTGTCTTAAATGCGCTGTTTACAAGATAATTAGGACGCCCTAATTATCTTCAGATAGGTGTCAAAATCTAAAATGAAAGAATATGTAACTACCAACTTTTTATGCTCAAGATACTAAGAATTATGAGACAAAAACAGCAAAAAATTAATCCTAATAAACTTTTAATTCTACAAAATATTCCTTAAATAAAAAAATCCAACACTCAGTATTCGCAAGATATGTTCTGAATAATTAAATCCTAGAACCATTTACTAATCAAATCACAGTAGGTACACTAGTGAAAAAAATAATTGTAATAATAATACTTACAAATTGGTGGTCTTGGTGTCTCCCATAGACAACACAGCACAGAGATCAGACAAAAGATTCTCAGCCAATTTGCTGGACGTCCGCGCGTCGCCCGTGACTAGATTCAACCACATCGGCTGGAGGCGAGGCCCGTACACCAGATCCGATAACCTACGAAAGATATTCTTTAAATGTACAAATTTGGTCCTTTGAACCGAATAAAGACCGTCGCTATATGATACAGGGGACATTTTTTTAACTTCGAAAAAAAGCTGAATAAGTATTATTAATTTTTTTTCTGCTTATGCAATCTCTAGATAACACAAAAGTACACAAAAAAGTATTCTTAAGCTGTGGTCCTCAAAGATGGGACAATTTCTGTTTTGATGATCAGCTATGTGGTTCTATGTATAAGTTCCTAATGTAATATTCCACTGACCAGCTCGCAGCGTGTTCCGCAGCCCGGTACAAGGTGGACACCCTGCCGCCGGTGGCTCCGGCTGCTAGCGTGGCCAGACGAAGCCGACATACTAGTGCTTGCAGCTGCGGAGAGTGCTCGAGGCATCGTCTCACGAGGTCACTGCCCAATCACATAAAAAGATAAAGCTCATATAACTTTAATCTGCTCATATAACTTTAATGTTCATTTTCCTTATAACTAACATCGCCTTAGAAGTTGTAATAGTTTTGCACTCGAGTGTAAATAGATAAATAAATATTTCTACAATTCTTCAATAGCACTGCTTAGGGTTTTATCGAGGAAAAACTGTTAGGTTAGAAAGCCGCCAAAACATTAATGGACAAATTTATTTTTTATCAACATTGATCGGGATCCTTTAATAACTCGCAAACTCATGGAAAATGTAAGGTAGCTTTCTAGTTTCTAGAGCTAAAAATCAAGTTAAATCTGGTTGGTGTGCTCTACTGTCTAATGTCGTCTATAACAAAACTCTACTAAAATTTCGTATCTTATACAGTATTTCCTATTGAAAAATATTTCATTTCTTACCGTTAAACAACTAAATAAATAAACAGGTTGCACTTCTAAGTACTTATGCCAAATGTTGGTAAACATCGAGTATTGGGATGACCAACAAAGTTGTAGACTACGCTAAAATCGTTAGCTATTAAACGCTAATTCAGAAAGGCAAACACTAGCACAATTTACCTGAATATAATAATATGAAGTATAAAAAAACTCTTTACTTGTGTAAAGAACCTCTTTTTATTTCAAGAATTTGGAGACAAAAGTTTGCCAAACATTGGCCGTGGTCTTTTGTCAAATATTGGCCGGAAAGTAATAATGTAAACAAATAAATTAGTCTGGCTTATTCTCTTGAAACTACATAATGATGATTACACATTTCAGACACAACTAATTTAGACAGACAGAAACGTTCTTACACACATGTGACCTTCTGACTCATCACACGTCAAGTCGAGCCTCATAAATGTAAACGCTAATCCTTTCCCGTGGCAAGGTTAAAATCTGGTTATAATTTACCTAGTAGAAATAGTTAATCTAGAAACCTAGGTACCACATTTTCTTAGCGTATGAAACGGTAAAGGCATTCATCTACCTAATGAGTTCTAGGTAGGGAGAGTAGCATGAAAAGTGGATTACCACTTTGCCCGTAGAGTGCCGATAAGGTTAGAGTGAGTGTAATTATTGAGAGAAGTAGCAGCAAAATAATACGCCTATTCCTAGTTCAACGTTTATTGGATAACTGACTAACTAAGGCGAAGTTAATTAAAAAAAGAAACTAAAAACCAGCCATCTACTTTGCCTAAGATTAACTGTGACTATTGTGCCTATGTGCTACAACTTGAAGACTAGTTACTACTAGTAGTAGTAAGTTAAGCTAATAAATCCTAGAAAACAAACATAAACAACCAAACCCAACATAATTATCCTTTAATATGCAAGCAACGTTATACAAGCAGTTGAGATAGAGTACTCTAGAATATTCCTAATAATGGTGTTGCATCGATATGCAATCGTCTATTTAGGCCACACACCAAGGCTGGTCCATTCTCATACTCTGCACAATGGTCGCAACGAAAATATGCTAAAAATAGTCACGATGCTGATTATGTAATATATGTCTAAATTCATTGGAAATAAAGTTTAAAATGAATCAACTTAAATAGTTTATTTAGTTGGTTACGTACGACGGAACAATGAAGGTTATTTTAAGCTTAGTAATTTACACATCTTGGCGTAGCTTATTAATTTACCAATATAGTAATTTTGACGAGTTGTATAAATGCCTAATCTGTGCAAAAGTGGTGTAATAAGTATACTACTATTTGAAACCAATATTAATCTACAAAATAAATGCGTATATCTCATAACATGACTAAAGATAATAGAAATGCTTATAATTATTCGTCTAGAAATCTTAGTTTTAATATACTAAATATCAGAACATTGATTTATTTATTTAATGCACAAAGTACATGAGTGAGCTGTGTGCCATCAAGCATTCTCGCTAGCTAAACTTTGGGTTCACTGCATCAGCAGTAAACATCGACTTTACAAAATAATTATAAGTAGTTAAAAAAACTTCACTTACATTTGCGTAGAATCGTTGACACTGATTAGCAACGCTAGTCCGAGCTTGTTCTTCCTGTGCAACATGGCTGACCCTGTGCTTGCTATACTCTCACATGTACCGCTCGTCGTACTATTGCTGTAGATCTGTTGACAATAGAAAGCATCGGTTTGCAAATGTAACGATTATATATGTATAAGTATTACTGAAAGTTTTGCTTTGGAGAATAAAATAGCTCAGGACCTTTCAGATACATTCCTAACTAGCGACCCGCCTCGGCTTTGCACGGGTAGCACTCACTCTATTTATTATAAAACCGCATCAAAATCCGTTACGTAGTTTTAAAGATTTAAGCATACATAGGTATAAAGGGACAGAGAAAGCGGTTTTGGTTTATAGTATGAAGTAATATTACAAACATTTTTCTAAAATCTACCATAATACGGTGTAAATCAAATTACTAACAGAACTGGCCACACAGAAAATACACAAAGTGAAAGAAGCCACTACGTATAGATACAGAAATAAAAAAAAGCCGTCAGATTATTTGAAATTCGAAGCAAAAAAATTACTTCAATTCAGAATTCAAACATATTCCATTCCAACTTAACTAGCACACGAACGACGCAATGACGTATACTGTTGAAAGAACTAATCCGTATTAAGCCTCTATATAACAAAAGGCTTTAGTCAACCGTACAACCGTAGATTATCTTTGTTTTATGGGTTATAGAATTAGGTCAAGGCGTAGATATTACGCACAGCCGTTGAAACAAAATAAAGCTAACAATGATTATGGTGATTTGAGGGTTAAGGAACTGATTATGAGGCTTCCCTGTTTTGAACAACTGAAAGTTTGTAAAAGATCTTACCGGTACTTTTGTATAGCAACATTAACAAGTCTTTAATTTTATTTTAGAATAGATCGATAGGATTGATAAAACTCTTCCTTACTGTAAGTTTGTTTAGACTGTAAACCATTATGACATTTTAATTAAGAGAAGCATCACTTATAATGCGTCAAGTAAGGTATGGACTGTCGTCAAGTCCACATAAGATACGAGGGAAAAACCAAGTAATAACATAGAAACTATAACGAAGGAAGAAATACATTATCATTAAGCCACTATAAATCAAAACATGTGTAGAGTACAAACAGAATAAGAAAGAAAAAGGAAAGTCAAACACAGTCGGTATTTGAATATTAATTCCTTAAGTACGTATGTAAACGCACGAAGCACGTGATGCACTGTGAACGTTTCCGTTCAAACAATTAATAGCTCGATTGTTAAGCCGTTCTAATTGTTCCACTTACAAATATGGGGACTAAGGAGGCTTATCTACTAGGCAAATTAATCGTCCCAATTTCATTTGATTGATTAAGATAGTTCAAGTAACAACAAAAGTAGTTTCTAAAGTTACAAGTCTTTTGACTAGATTACTTCTCGATAGGGCGAGGAGCGTCAGACTCTTACTGACTAAAAACCACCCAGTTACTTCTCTTACTTCAGGCCAGGGCCTCAGAGCATTATTACTTTGCACATGTCATGCAACCTCGACTAAACATCTCCCGTGGTCTATTGGTCTTCGTCTATTAACACTACTTGCCGCACACCTGGGCCTGATCCTAGTCGGACAGCGAGATACCCTTAACTGCCATCCACAGACCCGCGCTTATAAGCCCCTAAAATTGTTATCGTTTGTTTCATTGTCAATAAAATCAATGTTTGTTTGAAAATATTCCGAATTACTTATCCAGAAACTAATAGGTTAACCACAAAATATTATTTTCGGTCAATATGTTTAAATGAGGTTTTAATTAGATTATTATTGTTTTAAAATTTTAATCTACACGTTCCCATGCGTCGTTAACTGGGTTAATTTGTGTTAGGTGTTGTTAAAGTTTAAAAGAACTGAACCTAATATTCATACATATTAGGTATATTCGTGAGCTCACTACCTATTATGAATATCATAAAATCATTGTAGAATTTGTCCGAAAAGTAATAGGTATTACTCGATACTTATTTGACTTCTGAATCAAGAGTGGTTCTGTTTCTAAACAACAGATTAAACGCTTACAAATATGTATGTCTCGTCTCCTTTAGGTTTAATAGGTGCATTTTCAAAACACGTTTTAAAAGTATTTGAACAAAACAATACCTACAAAATAATATTTTCATTTGTATTTTCTATGTCACAAGACTTATGCAAATTAATGATAAAACTGCAAACAACAGGATATCACAAACAATTCATAAAATTCTGACGGCTAGGTGTTTACAATCACAAAATTGCAAATAAAACTGCATTCGAAATCACCTTCTTATCTCTAGAACTAATATTTTAAGAGCTCTAGGTACTGGATATTTTGTTTTTGTTCTTTCAAGTTTAAGTTAATACCGAATTTTTAGACTTAATATTACCTAAACCTTTTGGGGATCAGGGATTTGCAGATTTTGCGAGGGAAAGGAATGGGCTCACTTACACGGCGAAACACAACGCCGTTTGTGGTTTTTTCACGCTGGTTTTCTGTGAGGCCGTGAAATCACTCCAGTCGAGCCGACCCATTCGTGCCGAAGCATGATTCTCCCACACTTATCAAGAGCCATATAAGGGATCTTACATACCTATTTTCTTTTATTCAATCGTGGAAATTTCCTTACTTTACAACCATTTTTATTCTTGTTCCTTTTTCAACAAATTTAACGTTTGACCTTTGTCGAGGTGAAAACCGTGGGTGCAATGGCTTTGTCCTGCAATCACGTGACTCAAGTCGGTGACCCGACCGCGATATTTGCGTTCGCAAATGGCAAACAGGTTTCACTAATTCCGGTCTTGAATAAAATTAATTTTAGTACATCTACAATAAACATTCGTATCGCTTAATCTTAATTCGGTTATTTTTATCTTCCAAATGTTTTTTTTTTTAATAATAACCTACATAAGTATTACTTTTGCTTTCCTCTTTACTTTATTTACAACAGAGTTAGATACATTTCCTTTTAGACTTTGATGTAGTACTATACTACATCGAAGTCTTATTTCAGGCTACATAACAAAACAATTGTTCATGGAAACTTAAACTAATTTTCACAAGCGTTATAAGGAGTGCCAATTACCAAAGGACAGTACCGAAGAAAATATGTTTTTCAATGGTCATTAACGAGATTCTTTCTACTCCTGAAGTACCAGTCTCTATGAAGTCTCAATACTCAATCGTTATTATCTTAAGTACGTTAGACACGACCAGAAATCTGAATCAAAGAATTTAAGCAACTACTGGACCGTCTAGACCAGATTTTTGAAGGTCATCCATTACAATAAGACCTTCAAAAATACCATTTTACTAAAAAAAACGTTGTAACGTGTTATATAATTTATAGGTATACCTTCACGTGATTGGTGACTCATATATAGTCTGTCTATAGAGATTAACAGTAATATTTTGACGTCTTTCATTGACCACCGTTTGATTGTTACATAGTTCAACTTTTATGTAACAGATCGATTTGTATAAAAACCAACACACTGTCGCGGTCGTTGTGATGGACGTCGACAAATGTGGTTTAATAAAAAAAGAAAATAAATATTCCTGTCTCGTTTGACAAGAGTATATGAACATTCGTGACTTGTGTCTTTGTCCAATGGGTTTAGGAAGAATATAACAAAGATTCTTATTCCGTAACTTCTTTGCCGATGTTCAAACATGTAGCCAAAACTTATTGAGTTTCTAAGATTAAGTATAATTTCTACGTACATATGGTACTAGCAAAAACATTTAGTATTTGTAACTGTTGTAAGTATTAATAAAATAAGGTCAGATACGCAGATTAAAATTTGTTAGTAAATTTTGTTATCAAAAATGCTTATGTAGTTTTTGACCGACAAGGCAAGTGGACATCAAGACTTGTTATAAAATTAAACTAAATGTATTGTTTATCATTTTTCCTCTTATTTTTCATAAATATTTAAGTAATTATTCTGCTCATTCGAACGGACATACGAACGAATATTTGCATTTTAAGAAACATCGTAGTTTCGTAGCATCGTTAGTACCTAATGCCTAAGAAGAAGAATCATAGCGATCATCGAATGCATTTGTTACATTACTGTTAAAGCTTTTAAAATTTTTAGATCACGCATACTTGGCAAGGATCGGAAAATTCGAATGCCTATATTGATGCCAAGGTATATGTGAAGAGCTCCGTAAACTTTATATCACCTTCTATGTCATATTATGTTTGTAGATAAATCATTTTAATTTAAACTATATGTATGGACGAGGGAAAATATCTCCTAACATGGCGCATATGACCAATTGATCGAAAATGTAGACAGTCACCTATCATAACCCAGACTTACACCCAACACAAGATAACTTGAGGTAGTCAACACTCAACAAGCCACTACTTCTTGAAACATTCCTACAATAAAACATTCCACTAATTACATCACCGCCTATAATCAAACATACAAAATGCAGCTATTAACTAAGTACCTTCGGCCTGTCATTGTCCTGATAACGGCTCACATGACTGAACGATAGCTTGGACAATCATGTGACGACCATCACGCGCTATACAAGATAATAAGATAATGCTGTTTGTAAACAATCCAACAATCACCATTGAAGTGGCCCTTGGTGACACTATCCTACTTCGGAACTTTATACGATAGCGTTTTGTTTTTGTGTAATTCTTAGGGCTGATTTTTCAATACTCAGATAAACGGTATCTGAGGAATAAAATTGTTGCTGTCACTGTCTTATACAAACATTCCGACGCGACAGTATCATAATTAATCCCCTGATAATTTTTGTCTCACCATTGAAAAATCTGCCCTTAATCAAATTGTTGGGTATTCCTCGGATATAAAGCTTTTGTTGTCGCTTTCTAGAAAGTTCTTAATGTTTCTTTTGTGACATATTTTCTTGCTTTATTCTTCTTTTGACTTTGCTCAGTATGCATAAGAAGTGGAACACGTTCCTAAACTAAACGTACGATATCTAGGAGCTGTATTGTCGTATCAATTATTTTTATCTCATAAGTTATACGATTTACACTTTCCTGTTTCACAGGGTAATTCGATTAGTTAAGAGTAAGGGGTTCATAATTATCTCAATTTTTATGTGTGATGTGTGAGATAGATCGGTGCATCTTACAATTTGTTACGATACTAAACTTGGAATTCTAATATTGCCACATTATTAGACGATCGCAGTACATTTGTGTATCAATTGACTGACATGCGATTATGATGATTGGGATGCAAGACAGGATTCTGATAGATTAATGTTGCCAATAATAACGGCTAATATCAAATTGAATTATGTCTAGAAGCAATGCAGTGCCGCGAGTTAGAATTATTATATGTATAGTAAATAGATGTATTAACAATATCGACGGTCATAATAATATTATACAATAGCGACCAGCCCCGGTTTCGCACGGATGCAACGCTCATACAAAATGTCTCCATTATTAATTAAATAGATGTTAGTATACTTACCTCCAGTTTCCGAAAGGCCGGTCAATGTTAAAATCAATTTAATCTCTTGTCAAGTCATCTGATTGGTTGACTGAATTATCAACAACCAATCAGATTAGTTAAGTTTAGCGTTGACAAGCCTTTCAGAAACCGGGTGTAACTCTCTTTAATCATTCTACCTATTCAAAAAACGGCATCAAGATCCGTTGAATAGTTTTAAAGATTTAAGCATAGAGATATAGGGACAGAGGAAGCGACTTTCTTTTATACTATGTAGTAATAGGTACAGAAAGTTAAAGAAAAACAACCTTAAGCATCTATCTATCTACCTATTCCGTAGGTAATTTCCCTGAATCCAAAACACTTATATCAGTACAATAATACATATATTATCAGGCAATATATCATGTACAGAAGTATCTATCAGATACTATCTAAACTATATCTAAGAGGAAGCAAGTTCTCACGATAATGACGTCATCACTGACTGCCAGTCATAATAATGTAGCTTCGTTTCAATATTTAACAATGACGAGAGATAGACATGATATATGTATACCAACTGTTAGATATTAACATTTCTAGAACATTCCGTAGAGGAACAAAACACGTGTAGATAAAAACAAATGAATTTGAAGAAAGATTGTCAATTCGTTTTTGTTTTACGAATGCAGATGGTACTTGACATAGACAAGATTTTCTTACATGCCTGAAATTCCGTTAATAATGAAAAATAATAATAATAACAAGATTTATTTCAGGGACAAATTTCTAAAATCCCAATGATTAATCAAAACAACTCACTAGCGATACCTATAGGGCTTTAAGGGTTTTTTATGGGATAAGTCGGCAAACGAGAAGAATACACGAGGGTAAGCAATCGGCGCCGCCCATCGACGCCCACGCCACCAAAGGAATTACGAGTGCGTTGCCGGCCTTTTGGGGATGAGGATTCCGGATATTTAAGGATTGGGAAGGGATAGGGGAACGGCATTGGGACTCCGGTAACCTCACTCACACGGCGAAACACAACGCTGTGGTTGTTTCACGCCGGTTTTCTGTGAGGCCATGGTATCACTCTGGTCGAGCCGACCCATCCTTGCCGAAGCTTGGCTCTCCCTCACTTACAAGTTTGCTTATATGGCTATCCACATGCCTATCAGGCAAGTTGTAAGATTTGTTATCAGGCTACAATGTGTGAAAATACCAACACAGGAAAAACCAAAGAAATCTAGGCACACAAACATACGGCTATTGTGCTTAGGTCATCGCGTGAGCGTTGCTAGTTAAGTCGAAAAGATTAAGAGGGCTTAAATTGCTAAGAAAAAACAAACTGGTTTTATTTGCTTTAGAAGACCGACTTCCGAGAATAAAAAAAATATAAGTACTTACATGTAGCGTAATAAACACGTTATGTAGTTTTTGTTTATTAAAAATGAAGTGCAAAAAATATCAAGTATAGTATTTATGTATAAATCACGCTATAATTTTTAATTCTGTGTAAGTGCGTCAAAATCGCGACAGTGTGTGTTTGTATAATTGCCTTTACTTTGTTCTAATTTTATGAAGAAAGGACAGAACAACAATTTGCTTTGTTCACAAAAAAGTGGTATGTTTGGTTTTGAACATTGTCAAAATATTTTAAAATGTGTAATTGTATAGAAATGCTTTGAAAATACTATACTGACTAGTTCTACTGAAGGTGCGAAATAATCACTTCTTTTAATGAACAAAACGCGTTGAGGACGCTTGGTGTCTCCACTTATGCATTTCTAAAAAAAAACACAAAAAAAAACATTTAAAATTTGAAAATCGAACACTAACCTGTGAATCAGAACTGGCGGTGTTGCTAGTTGCTGTTGGAACTCCAAGCAGATTGCTACTCTGATGTCCGACATCGAACCTCGTCGCCATATTCTGGAAAGTTCTCCGTTGCCAACTGCCATTGCTTGACGTGCTAAGTTTTCTGCCGGTTGGTACTGATAAAACAATACAATAAAATTATACTTTCATATTATTACAAGCATCCTCCTCACTCTCAGCCCATTTATTACCGAACATCGATCGATCCAAATAATGCGGTCATTGAGCTGTTGAATTGTAAAGCTTATTGGTTGAACGCGCTAATCGCAGGAGAAACTGGTTCAAATTAAAAAAAAATGGGTTAGATCTATTTGGTACCTATATTTTCGTACTAGCATTTTAAGATCCACGATCTTACGCTATGTGCAACGTAGGACTACATTTATTACCTATCCATCTTTGTTCATTTCGCGCGTATCGTAAGAATGCACAACTGACAAAGACCAAGCACGCAATAAGGCGGCCTCGGCCTAGAACTGGAGAAGGAACGGGGAGAGGGTTTAGACAGTAAGAGTCTGACACTCCTTCTCAGCCTACCCTGGGCGGGAGAAGCGAGAAACCATTTGAACATTTTCGCCTCACAGAAAAAAGTCTTCGCAGGCCAACCCTCTTTATTTCTAGAAGACTTATAGTCAACCAGTGGAATTTTACGAAGATTATGACTATGTTACATAGGAACAGAGAAGAATACACGCGATAAACTCCAAGCAAATGCTAGTACCGAGTATATTTATACGATATATCAGTCACGAGTGTGTAAGAAAAACATTGGGAAAGTTTTAGTTACATAGTATACTGTTTGAAAAGGATATCTCATTGAATTCCTAGACAAATACTTCGGTGAAGTGTGTTTGATTTTGCTTACAATGTCGATTGGGTTCTTGTGGAACTTTCAACTGTTACTTCTTCGTCTAAAGGCTTCAAATGATTTATTAACATGCGTTTTTTTTTGGGATTTGACTAGTAGTTTCAGAATCTTATTGACTAAAAACCACCTCATTCTTTCTTCTGCTCCAGACTAAAGCCGCGGTACATTATTTCGCTTGACCCGCGAAAACGGATAAAATTTGTTTTTATGAAAATCATCAAATAACTTCTCCCGTCCAGGGACAGGCGAAAGGGAGTGTTAGACAAATCCTGACTAAAAAATCCCCCGTTCCTTCTTCTGCCCTGGGCCGAGACCGCGGTGCCTTATTGCGCTTGCCCCGCAACCCCGGCCCGGCTCTATTGGCTCATTGCTCAGCGCGCGCAACGCTACGCGCCGTACGCTCGGGATAAGTCATCGGTTTTTTTTAAGTTTCAAGTAATAAATAGTAATAATACTTACGATGAAAAGAAGCGAAATCGTCTTGGTTGTTGCTATCCCAGATATCGCACATTGAGAAGTAGTCGTTCGTGGACCCAATGCTGCTGTACGGCGAATGGTCTCCGTAATAACCTAAAATATACTGCATTTTTGAATAAACAGGTATAAACCACACAGTATTGATATCAAACTAAATGATTAAGAGGGACACTAGAAGTATGGCATATATCAAGACTTTAAGCCTCAGTCACCAGATTTGCAAATTGAGTGCAAATAGAGACAAAAAACTTCATATAATGCTCTTTGACACAATCTTTGGCACAATCACCACAATGCTGGTCATTGTGGTGATTGTGCCCCTTGGAGCAGAAGGCAAAGGCAAAAATCAAGACTCCGGAAAACTCGAAAAACCATAGCACCTTTTTAAAAAAACAATACTAAATGTTACCGGGTAACAAGAACTATTGGCAGACGAGCCTTACTTACTTATCTATATATATAAAAGAAAGTCGTGTTAGTTACACCACTTATAACTCAAGAACGGCGGAACCGATTTAGCTGAAAATTGGCAGGGAGGTAGTTTAGAGTCAGGAGAAGGACATAGGATAGGATAGAGTTGGTAGAGTAGGTTAGGTAGAGTGGGGTAGGTAGAGTAGGGTAGGTAGAGTAGGTTAGGTAGAGTAGGGTAGGTAGGGTAGGGTAGGTAGAGTAGGTAGAGCAGGTAGGGTAGGTATGGTAGGTAGAGCAGGTAGAGTAGAGTAGGGTAGGTAGGGTAGGTAGAGCAGGTAGGGTAGATAGGGTAGGTAGAGTAGGGTAGGTAGAGTAGGGTAGGTAGAGTAGGGTAGGTAGAGTAGGGAAGGGTAGGTAGGGTAAGTAGAGTAGGGTAGGTAGAGTAGGGTAGGTAGAGTAGGGTAGGTAGAGTAGGGTAAGTAGAGTAGGGTAGGTAGTCAAATGACGGGAGCGACGCCGCGGGTAAGAGCTAGTAAGGTTATAAAATTTAAGTAAAAAAAATACATTTTCACTAAACAGGAAAATGGAGCAATAAAATGGAAGGAAACATTGATAAGGTATTTAAGGGTCACTGCTGGAAGTCGGTTCAATGAACTAAGTAACTTCTTACTTCGAAAACACATAATGTTTACATATCAGTAGGCCTACCATGACATGTTAAAGCGTCAATCTTCCGGGAGAGAAAGAGGGATGGAGCTATAAAAGGTGTATAGCTCCATCCCTTTTTCTCGCCCTGCCCCAGGCCATCTGTGCTTGAATTCAAATATTTTATGACAACTTTGACAGGAACTTTACCATAGATCCAAATTCCTTTTTTGAAAATTTCATAACGTCAATTTTGTGAATGCATGTGTTTCGAATGTAAATATAAAGAATTCTTTAATTTTAAAGACAATTCATGCTTAAAGGTATATTAAACTTACCCGAATCTCCTCTATCAAGCGAAAAACTGAGCGAAACTCCCTCTTCCCTCACAAGAGGAACACTGAGCGGTTTAGATCGGTCCCCGTTCTCGCAACCGCTTGCTTCTCTTCTCTCCGGATTGCCTACTCGGCTAATCCGTCGAGACGGTACGCAGAACACTTTGGAGCACATCAACCTATGACATACAACCAATTTTTAAAAGCAGGAAAAGTTACTTAAACAAAATCAGCTTATAACTGTCAATAAAGTCGAAAATTTTAGCAAATTCATAAACGTTAGCAGTAAAATAAACCTTGTAAAATAAGATTTGTCAAATGACATTGAACCTTGTGATTCAGGGTCAAGCTGGTAGTTGGGGGGTAGATGAATAGATATTATCTTTAGGTATATCATAAAATCGAATGATCTAGATCAAAACGAATCACGAAAAAGATTCAAATTGAGCGCAATTCTTGTGATTAGATAACTGCATTATAAAGTACACACATTATCCAAACATTTGATACCAAGGCTTTATGATCGATCGGTCACGAAGATGTTTAAGTACCTACTTAGATAAGCAAAAGGATTAAATCATACAAGATAAAAAAAAATCTAACAAGAAATTTGTTATTTCTATAAAATCACCAAGTTTACAATACAAAACATTTAGGAAAGCAAATAATTAAAGCGGATTTTATCTTACATTTAAAAAAAGAACACATAAAAACAATGAGCTGGCAAATTTCTATGCAGCCAGTATAATAAACGCAATAAAAGTTGCATTATGACGAAAATGAATACGACCTTACCTCCTTGGCTCATCCATGATGTGGATTTTCAATGATACGCTCTTGTAGTTCATGGCGACTGCACCAAATATCATCTCACCGAGAACGTTCGCGTCTGCCGCCGGTCCCTTATACTGGACAACAAATGATGAAATTAGTTAATGAATATACACATTTATCTTTTACTTATTTATAAGAAACCCTAACCTAGGTTTACTTTCATCACGAACGTATTTTTATTATCATACGTAGGTACGAATGAACTCAATAGTAAAACTACTTATAACAAAAACTACGGAAAAGTTTAAAAAAAATGCATCATTAGGCTAATCTGTTATTGTAGGTAGGTTGGGTGGATTGTTAGATGTATGCAGTCTGGGTGCTTTCTTCTAAAGCTTTGGATCAGTATTTAATAAACACTAAGCAACACGAATCGTTTCGTTCCTTTTTGGATCAAACACAGGAGATACAGTTTTTGGTTGCCGCTGAATTTATCATCATGTATATATTTAATACAATAGTTAAATAGTTTAATAAGTACTACCTGCATGTATTTAATACAATAGTTTTGTTAAAACCTAGTGAAAAACTTTTCATTGCCAATAAACGCATATCTTCAAAACCTCCATCTCCAAATCTGAAGAAGCAATGACGGTAAAGGGCATCATGTATTGTTTGACCTTCCGTGTTAGTTCGGAACAAAGCCCACTCATTCATCAAGACGATGATTTACATGACAGGTGGCTACAAACGTCGTACGCCCAAATACGTCAATGGAAACCAAAAATAATATCTTTATTCACAGTTACGCCCACGCCAGCGTAACACAGAAATGTGATAAATATTTTTTAAAGAAATATTTCCCAAAAATATGTCATAGGTATTATCAGGAGTATAAACTTTTGTTAATTTTTTAAATTCATACCGTACCGTGCCTTTTACAATACGTGATAAATCCTTGTTCGGTAAAGGGCATAATACATTTACAGCGGACAATTATGATAAAGGTGAGAAAACAAAGCCATTAAGCTTCGTTTATTTTTACTCTGTACATATGTATCACAAATAAACTTGTTTTTTAACTTGCTAACCACGATTCGATTATAACCAAGGCGTTAAAACAAAAATGTTTAAAAATATCATTCGAAATAACCGCCATAAACCAAGTAATATTGGCAGACCTGTTACATTATGGCAGGAATCATAACAATGTAGATTTCATATTAAAGATAATAATGTCTATAAATAACTAACAAGTAAGACCGGTTTTATCTAACGACAGTTAGGATTGTTATAAGCAATAAATTATCACGTGACGTATACATATTTCCAAAGTAAATATAGATTGAAGAGACAATTGACACAACTATAATGGGACAAGTGGTGACCATTAATTAGAATCCAGCTAAAATTACGGACCATCCGCGCACATAAGTCCCACTTACGGCACGCTTTATAATCGAAAAGGCTAACATCTTAAGTGGTCTAAATATAGAATGCTCCAGTGATAATGTTAGAGCAAATTGTCGGTCATGTGACCGCTTCGTATGTCGATTGTTGCGTTATTTTTAAACATTTATCACGAAGAGAGAGATTCGCTGATCGTTCACACTCATCATTCGATGCAAAACGTCATCCATATCGATGAAAGTTATTGCGCGAAAAATTCAAATTTTTAGGCAAAGCGTTCCAAAATTTATAAGTTATTTCTGCACACTGTTTCGATGGAAAGTATACATTCGTTACCTATCTAACATTCTTATTCCAAATCCATTTCAATTAAGAGTAACCGCTCCACGTTGCCAAGAACATGATAATGCTACACATAATTTATAGAACATCTCTGACATGACAAGTTTTATAAATAAGAGGGATTCTAAACTAGGCCAGCGCTAGAAGTTGGAGTTTCAAGGATATACCATTTGAGTAAATTGTTCGGTCGTTAAAAGTAAATGCCTAGACTACCAACCAAAACGTACGTCGGAAGCCAATGTTCATAACAAAACCAAAAAGAAACGAATTTTGGTGAAGCTTTCTACTTAGTCTATCAGCAGTTAGAATTAGCTTTTTAGCCATAGTAACACAACAATTTGAGATAATCCTGTTCGTTACGTCACTGATACAGTACTAAGTCCATTGACATGTTATCTGAGACTTATCTTTCTTATCGCCAGAAAATATCATACCACAACACAAAAGGATTACCATTGGGTTCCCCAAGGATCTATATTTAGACCAACGCAGAAAAAATATTTTATGACGTAAATTTTATAAATTTATGATGATACTGTTATTCTTTGATTAATACTGCACGGTTCCGATGACACGTCATTGTGTTGCCGGTATGATTGTGAGCAGCTGGCTAGTCACGTGCTTGGAGTGTTCGTGGCCGTATTATTATTATCACACGCTAAGGTAAACGGCCTACATACGCGTATTAGAGAGTGTCCGAAATATAAAAACGATGTAAAATCATAATTTATATTAATGTGAGATAGATTAACTAGATAAAAACACAACAAAATATTGTTATTCGACTACTTATCGGGTGATTAAATTAAATTACCTACGTTCACGATCATTGGTGTTTTGAGAAAGCAAGACATGTATTTTCGTGATTGAATTAATCCTTATTATTTTTGAAAATAGATTCGATCTTAGTAATAATTTTTTTATATTCATCAAAGATGAAGAAAATATTGTTAAATTGATTACGAACTACTGTTTTGTTTTTCTTTTGTCCTATAAATAGAAGCAGACAAATTGATCGATAGTTATGTAGTTTTAGTTTAGAAACCTAATTGCTTCTCTACTGTGTTCTTAAACAAAAGATCGGTAGTTACAAGAGAATGAAATAGCACACATAGGTACTTTATCTCGATGCATAACTATGTCATCTTTATTATTACTAACCCACTCATTCATACACTAGCTACGTAAAGCTATAAATTTTATCAAAAAGTAAACTTTGTTTGTATCATCTCCTTTTTTATATTTTCATCACGTTTTTTCCTGCGCGTATTTCCCGCTACGTCTGAGCAAAATTACGTACCATTTATATGGTTAAATTCGTTGGAAGTTGATGAAAAGGAAGTGCAAAATAATGATCTGTTAGGATAACAGGAAAGACTGAATTTCAAAGTATGTAATTCAAATTCAGTGTGAATATGTCTAGTGTATGATAAGAATTTTAATATTTTAATGGAAATGAAGATTAGTTGTTTATAGTTTCGGAGGGTGTAAGATCAAAAATAATATTGTTCTAAAACTGTTCAGATTTCCATCCTTAAAGATCTGGAAATCAACCTGGGAGAAGGCATTATCCTTCTGACTAGTTTTATTCCAAAAAAGCTGGTACATTTCATAAACAATAATTACTAATGTTTAGGGCTAACTACAAAACTTACCAAGTATGTGAATCCTTCTGACACCTCCAGTATGCATGGCACTTCTTCTGACTGTCTGACATTTGGCTTATCATTTTTACTGGCTGGGACTTTTTGTATAGCAGCAGAGTCAAACAACAGCTTCCTGCCCCTCCAATCACACTCTTTGAACAGAAGCAACCGCACTTGCTCTGGATTTATCTGACAGGACCTGAGAACAAAAAATAAATAAATAGGTAAGTACTTATTACAAAAAAAAATAACAACTTAAACTATTCATAAATTTTTAACACAGAAGTTTATGACTTATCTGTCTGTTGCTTACATACATAAAATATTGAAATTGACAGAAATTTTTGGCATTAGCAACAATAGTTTAACTGTCGAGTACCTAGTTAGTTGTAAAACTGGCATCTGAGGGGATCACATGAGCGGACAAACGGACACACCTACCAATGCTAAAAATATCATCAGATATCAAATCTACGTATGTTCTCATACAAACAACATAAAAGTATTATGATACAGTCTGTTTTATTTCTTTAATTGTTTGCAGACATTTTTCACTTTTTTCATTACAAAGGCATTATAAGACTAGATTTTATTTACACATCGTAAATTATGATACATCAAAACAAATGTTTAATTTAATACCCTTTCCATATGCTTAGAGAGAAAACTTACATTTTTATTATTTTTCCAGCCAAATACAATTCAAATAGGCAACTGGATAGAACATTGTCATTATGCTCACTTTAAACTAATCAGACAAAATGATTGTAAAACAAGTTTTGTTTAGATAAAGTGACAAGTGCTTGAGATAAGACAGGTCTAATCAATGAATGTGATAAATGATGATATGATATATGTTTGACCAATTACTATCTGGATTTATGCTCTGGACAGGCTATGCATAAATAATTAAATACAATTTAATAGAATTAAAAAAAAATAAACAATCATAGAGTTTTTATTTACTTTTTAACAAATTAATTTATTTCAAATTGGTTGGTAGTATTATTCTAAGTATGTTGGACATGAGTATGCAGAATGTAACAGCAACAAGTCAACAATGAGCCAACTTTCTCTTCTTTTATGTTGTAAGCAGTACAATATTGTAGAGTGCTTATCAACTCAAGTATCAATGTAAATAATATATATATATATCTACCAACAATGTTTTGATGTTCTGTTGTCAGAGCACCACAACACAATAAACTAACTCATCATGCCCATTATCATTCAAAGTATGCTCCACTTAAATGAGATTTTGATTACTGCAACAAGTCTACACTGATTCATGCTAAATAAAATATAAATGGACAGAATTGACAGTCCCCATGACTACATTCTAGATTCTACCAATGTTCTTGTCTTATATGTATGTAATGAAAGCACAAAGTAAACAGTTGTTACCTAAATTTCATTTTATTTCATAGTCACATCAGCTGTCCCTACAGCTGCTCACCAGATTACCAAAGTTGCAAATTTTGCAAAGACCAAACTGTGTCATATGCACTCACTGATCAAAGAAATGCAACCACTGATAATGTTTAACACTAAATGCACATCGATAGGCGAGTCTCAGCGGACGAGCGTCCGTTTAGTGTGGAATGTGCTGGTGTACTAGCTTACATCTCGTGTAAATAAGTAAACATAGAGCGTGCTGCGCGACCCGCCCCTCTCGCGAGTGACGTGATCGCGCGCTCGCTGCTCGCCTACGCCCGCAGCCCGCAGCCCGCGCCCCGCGCACTCATCACATGCTCGTCGCACTGCACTGCCAGACCGAGACTGGAGTGCGTCACCACATCTACGCGAAGGTCCACATAGTGCCCTCGTGAAGACCTGTCTCCCGGCACGGGTGAACAGTTCGTGCGTCAACCCCACCACACCACACCGCATACCACACTTCTCACAAAAATAGAATAAAATGAATGAAAAGCGTTTCATCATGACGTACCTGTCGCGGTTTCTTGGTTCGCGATCATCAAGTTTTCTCTTGAGAGAAAACAATTTGTCGAACAAGGCCATTGCGTCACACGTAACATTTCACGATATTTTCATGGCGGGATTTTGTAACATCTTTAATGGAATCTTTATAGAAAATTATTGTTATAAAAAACTTTTAAAAACACTTTGTTAAAAATGTAAATAATATGTCAGATCACGTGCAAAAGTCATATGATTTAGCATAGACAATAGGTTTTTACTTTTGCTGAAAGGTCAAGGTCACAGAAATTATATTGATTGACTAATTTATGGTGATGCTCTGAATGCAAAAGAAGTTAATTTCTAAAAAAAACTTTAGTCAGCAGTTTTCGCTACACAAGTAATGTGTTGCTTTATTATAACAACTTAGGAAAATAATTTATAACCAGAGACAATTTGACGTCGTTCCTTTACACACACACATTTGTGTCCTTTGACAGGTTCCTTATTTTCGTGGAACGTATCGTAACGAAATGATGTCATGTCATTGATGTCAATTTACTATACTTGCAGGTTAGAAAGTTGTAAACATTGAACGAAAAGCGGATTTATGTACCCCAAAATTGATTTAAACTGTGAAGATGTTAGCATTACGTGAAATTTGTTATAAATTAGAAGAATACAAGACTTGTGTTGCTACAGCGTTGCCTGAAATTGAAGATTTAGATCCAGCTTCTAAATCATTATTGCAAAGGTATATCAATAGCACTGAGTCAACTGATCCGTCTTCTACGATAAGGATTCAAGCTATCTTAGATTATATGTACGAAAAAATCAACATTGGAAATTGGAAAGAAGTGAAATTGTTTATCCGGAAAGCTATTACTATTGCTACATATTTAAAATTATTAGCTCACGTAAGATTTTCCGATGAAGATACCGATACAATAATAAAGCAGGCCTATAAAATAATAGATTTTGGTATCCTATTTGGTTGTCCTTTAGACAAAGAACCACGACTCCTGCAAAACTGTGCATCTATATTAAATACTGTAAATGTTCAAAAGAGTTTAGTATTGAAGGACACATCAACCAAAGAAAAAAATAAAGCAAGTAGTGATACGTCACAAGCTGATAAATTCAATGCTATCCAAATAGAGAGTATTGACTGTCCAAGTATGGAGCATTTCTACAAAAATTACATTTTAGCGGAGAAACCTGTTGTTTTAGACAACTGTATAAATCACTGGCCAGCCTTGGAAAAATGGAAAGACCAAAACTATTTTATAAATCTAGCTGGCCCTAGAACAGTGTCTATAGAAATTGGGAGCAAGTACACAGACACAGATTGGACGCAAAGACTGATTACAATAGAAGAGTTTGTTAAACAGTATATTTATCAGACTGAAGGCCCCACTGGGTACCTTGCTCAGTACCAACTATTTGACCAAATCCCTGAACTGAAAAGTGATATCACTGAGCCTGAATACTGCTGTTTCTCTGATAGCAATGAACCTGTTGATGTTATGGCATGGTATGGGCCCAAAGGAACAGTTTCTCCACTCCACCATGATCCAAAGAAAAACTTACTTACTCAAGTGGTAGGAGAAAAGCAATTGTTCTTATTTGCTCCATCAGACTCAGAGTTCCTCTATCCCCATGAACATGAGCTGCTGAATAATACAGCACAAGTGGACCCAAGGCAACCTGATCTAGATAAATATCCTAAATATAGAAGTAGTAAGCCTTATTATTGCAGACTTAAACCAGGCCAAATGCTCTATATCCCACCAAAATGGTGGCATTTTGTTGAGTCACTGTCCATTAGTTTTTCAGTAAGCTTTTGGTGGGAATAAATATCAATGTATTATTTATGTATGGTGCTAATTTGGCTTCAATGCCAGAATATTTTGAATACAATCATACAAGAATTATGCTGAAAGATTGTTGACCCCTATTAGCATTTCTTACCTGCCAATATTTAGTCACTTTGTTTTATTTTTAGTCACCTTAGAATATCATAAGTGTTAAGAAAAAAATGTGTTCATGCATTTTCATATTGAGCAGCTAACAAAAATAGTCTAGTTTACAAGGTACTTAGCAATAACAAAAATAGTTTAAAAGTTTTTTTAAAAACTTTAATAAATAATTACAAATTTTATCACATAGTGACTATTTTATTTTATTTGTATTCATTGTTGAGTGCTCGGCCAATTAACATTCTTCTCACTTCAGAGGTTCCAGCTCCAATCTCATAAAGTTTTGCATCTCTGAGTAGTCTGCCTGTTGGGTAATCATTGATGTAGCCATTACCACCTGTAAAAAATAATATTTTAAATTATCTTATACCTATTTAAACAAACGATAGGTACATAGTACTAGGAAAAATAGAAAAGTGTTTAAATATTCAAGGCTGATTGTGATTGTGACTACAATAATAAATAACCATTGTGCATTTTAATGTGCTCCAAATTTTAAACTACATTATATTATTTACTGGTTTGGAGCTAAACATTGACTGTATTGTAACAGTAAATAATTGTGGGTGTGTAATAAATGTAACCAATTTATAATATTGCAGAAAATCCACGTAAAATTGGACTATCCCTTGAATTTCGCAGTTTAGTCGCACAACACTTGCACTTGTAATAGTTATTAAATTACTGTATCCCAAATAGTTCTGAACCTATAGGTTCAGCTACGCTTTGAAATGGCTTTACATTATAAGAAGTAAAATAATTAAGTGACTTATGAAGTAGCACTTCTAACTTTAAGAAGATTTATTAAACATCATTTTATCACAAACAGTGTTCTTGGTGAAGCAAGTGCACCAACAAATTATAAGAAACTGGTTAATAGCAATAAGTTCATTTCTACAGCCTCTGGAAAAAAATAACGTTACATTTTATATGTGCCCTATGTCACAACAACTCTTGAAAGACCCCACTTACCTAGGATTTGTATGGCGTCCAAAGCCACTTTAGTAGCTTTTTCAGCGCAGTATAGAATGACTCCGGCGCAGTCCTTACTATTGACGTGGCCTTCATCGCAGGCTTTGGCGACACTGTACAGGTAGCTGCGGCATGCACTCAACGTTGTGTACATGTCTGCCATTTTACCCTGGAATGGAAATAGTCAAATGATCTTGAAAACTTTTTGGACAATTTGGAATTTGTACTTAGCGATTTAAGTTTAGTGCGACGGTGCACGATTGGAAGTTAAAAATTTAAAAATAGTAGTGGGCATCTTTTTTCGTTTGGAATTTCAGAAGGAGGGATGGATTTTATGTTGCTAAAAACTACGACCCTGTTAACCCATATAACAAACTCCATATCTCCAAAACTATCAGTTAAGAGAGATCATAATCTATACTTATTGGCCTTTAGTAACTACTTATCCATTTCCAATTTCGAAAGAATTTCGATGATGTCGTCTGATGTGGATTATCTTATGTTGTGATGGCTATTTCAGGAAGTTGGCCCACTTTGAAAATTTCTCACAAGATTTTATGAGTTTAATATGTACTTTACATGAAACTAAAGAACTTAATGTATAACATATGAAGGTAAATTATTTGACTGCACGGTTGGCGATTGGCAACTTCAGGGCTTCAGGGTCTGGATGTGATGTGTGTAAGTTTATAAACGCACTCAGAACACAGAAGAAAAACCTAATGTGTACTAAGTATTGACTTACAAGTTCTCATTTTCTTACCTGTAACAACTGAAATTCTCCGATAGGCTTTCCAAACTGTTTCCTAGTGTGTGCATATGCGAAGGCGGTGTCCACTGCAGCTTGCATAAGCCCGACAGGACCAGCAGCTAGAACCAGTCGTTCCAGGTCTAATCCTGACATAAGCACATAAACACCTTTGTTTTCCTCACCTAGGAGATTTGCTGCGGGCACCTGTGTAGAATAAAATTGAATACAGTTACACAGTTAGAGTTAATTTTGAACTCAAGTAATCGTAAAGTCATGACAGTGCCAAGTTGACAAGGGAAAATCAGACTTGTATGGTCTCGCTTAAGTTCTACAGAAAAGTATCGTGAAATTTATTTATTTATACCTATATATTGTGCAGTAAAGTTCACAAAAGGAACATCTCTTTGTGTGATCCACAAATTGTTGTTGCGGGTCTGGGTGTGATGTGTAGGTAGGTATGTGAAAATGTACCTTTGTAAACGCACCCACGACACAAGAGAAAAAAAAAACTGTAAAACGGGGTGAATAGAATTTGACGGGTGAATAGATACCTACACGAAAGATGTTGGCGAGTTTTCCTAGTATCTATCTAACCCTCATCTGTCTCTATTCACCCCGTTTTACCGTTAGGTATCTACCTTGCAGTCTTCAAACACCAATTCACAAGTATTAGATCCCCTCATTCCGAGTTTGTCCAACTTCTGTGCTGTACTGAATCCTGGGAAGTTCTTCTCTATGAGGAACGCTGATATGCCGTGTTGTTGCTTCGCGGAGGGATCTGTTCTGGCGTATACCTGTAATGAAACAACATAATTTTAATTATTGTAAGTGAGGAATTAACTACTTTGAAGCACTAGATTTAAGGTTCAAATCTCGTACTTATTAAAAGCATCAAATTACAAAATTGTAAAGTTCAGTTTTTAGAATAGATCCAATAACATCCAGGCGAGACTTATATACGGCTTTTCGCGTCGTTGTAGTACTTAGTTAAATATTTTCTCCATAATATACTTATTGTCCATAATGTGAGAGGAATTTTATAGAAGGTGTATAGCTTCATCCCTCTTTCTCGCCCGGAAGATTGACTCTTTAACACGTCATGGTAGGCCTACAGGAGTAGTTTCAGGTGGGCTCCAATTCCAAAATCTCCAAATCGCTAATCGCCAAAAGGTCGGCAAAGCACTCGTAATTACTCCGTTGTTGCGGGTGTCCATGGGTGGCGCTATTAGCTTACCATCAGGTTATCCATTTGCTCGTTTGCTGACCGTATCACATAAAAAGAACTCACCACTAAAACATCAGCATCGGGTCCATTAGTGATCCAGAATTTGTTTCCATTGAGTACGTAGTAATCTCCTTTCTTCTCTGCTCGCAACTTCATTGATACGACGTCACTTCCTGAACCTGGCTCCGACATGGCTAGAGCCCCTACATGCTCTCCTGAACATAGCTGTGAATTTAAAGAGAATAATATATTACATAAGGAATTTATCTTTTCTAAATATAAAAGAAAGTTGTGTTAGTTACATTATTTGTGACTCAAGAACGGCTGGACCGATTTCGTTAAGAATTGGTGGGGATGTAGTATAGAACCAGAAGAAGAACATAATAGAACAGGATAGGGTAGGTACCCAGAGGAGGGTAGATAGGGTAGAAAATGTAGGATAAGGTAGGAGTGATGTGTAGATAGTAAAGGACGGGAATGAAGCCGCGATGTGCTGAGGTATCACAGCACGGGTGATCGCGATAATGTCGCCGCTCAGGCCCGAAGCGAGCAGAAGAGAACAAACGGGGTGGTTTTTGGTCAGTAAGAGTCTGACACTCCCTTCTCGCACCGCCCAGAGCGAGACGTTATTAGTTGATAATTGCCTCCCAAAAACTGCACAGGTTATTAACCGTACCTACTCACTCTAACAATCAGTCACTCTGACCGCCGCCCACTCAGTGTACTCAAAGACAATAATAGAGTGGTCACATACAGCTGAGTATGTATGTACCTATCTACTTACAGGTAGACTCAAAGATTTTAATATCATTTAATTGCAACAAAAATAATAAAAAATGTGTGTGTGTGTATGTGTGTGTGCGTGCGTGCGTGCATGCGTTCGTGCGTGCGTGCGTGCGTGCCTGCGTGCGTGCGTGCGAGCGTGCGTGCGTGCGTTTTACTGGTACTACTACCTAAGTACCTAATTTAAATTTGCCTACAACCTGTGCTTTTCCTCCAAACTGAAAATCGAAAACCTCTTTACTTCTACAGGTAACCTACCTTTGGTAAATATTTGCTCTTTTGTTCATCAGACCCGTTCCTATTGATTTGATTGACGCATAAATTGGAATGTGCTCCGTATGACAGTGCTATCCCGCCGCTAGCTCTGAAATAACAAACACATTATTAGTAGGTACTATTACAAGTATACAATTTTAATTATTGACCGGAGTCACTTGTACCTATTGCATATAACTGCATTCCTAGTATTGTACCTATATTGTTTAAAATAATAAAATTAAAATTCATTACATTAAATTATTAAAGTAGGTACTACCTAATAGGTACACCGTACAATCTCTACATGAACAAGTTGTCGGCCGAGATTCTTCATATTCACGCATCATTGCACTTAAAACCTTACGGAGTTCCAATTTTCGAATAATTAATAAGTAATTCAAATGAACATACATAAAAAAATATAAAAAAGATCCCGACGAATTGAGAACTTCCTCCTTTTTTTGAAGTCGGTTAATAAGAAAGTACCTAACATAATATAACTTTATATATACTTTTTACTTATTCTCCCAAGGATGAAGCAGTTTTCTACTTTTAAAATCTAACACTCGCGTTTTATCTATTGCCTTTATTAAATAGAAGCGAGCAGGGTAAGCCGTGTGCTATATAATATCTGATTCCAAGTTTCATATTACAAAATTATGCAATTATCGTTGCTCGAACAGGGAATAAATAACCAAAATATTAAATAGGATTTGTAACCTTGAAAGTTCTTCCATGATGATACAATGGTCTGAGTATTTTCCTCCGGTGCCGCCAAACTTGGGGTCTGCGGTAATACCTGCAAAATACATGTAAAATGTGAGAGACTAAACTGCACTGAAAGCTCCTAAAATCTATAGAACAACAGTAGACCTTTAGAGGTGTACAAGTACTGAAGTAGTGAAGTGTCTACATATCTAGATATAATGTAAAACTAAGCAACTGGATAAAACACAACTGCCAAACCAGAAATTCGGAGATTGTTCTAGGCATGCCTAAGGTCCAGGCAGTCTAACGAGCTGGCCGTATATCTACCTGATGGTAGGGCAAATGACGCCCGCCTATGTGCTAGTAAGATCAAGGTTTATAGGGTTTTAAACCCTATATAACCCACAAAAGGATTTGGAGATCGAGGATAGAGGGGAAGGATTGAGCCTGCGGTAACCTCACTTAAAATTTCAAAAATGGCAAGGGTACCTATTAAAGACGATGTTATGTTACGGCCATTTTAACCGTTTAGTAAACCATCAATCAGAAAAGAAAAAAAAACTATACCTACTACACAATAATATTCAACATACCCAACAAGCCCAATTCCCCACATTTTTTCCAAAAATCCCTTAATTCTGGGAAGTTGTTGTTCTTGTCTATTTCGGCTGCTTTTGGCGCCAACTCTTTTTGTGCAAAGTCAAACACCGACTGGCGGAGCTGAAAGATAAGATGGCGTGTTGTTTATTTTTTTAAAGATAACATAATATATTGTGCTACTAAAATAAGCCATAAGGTATTGAAAGAATACCTTAGTAGGAACGACAACATATGTACCTATTTAAAAGAAAAAAATGACTTGCTTTGGGATTTATCCGTGTGTCGTCGTTGCATTTTCAAAAATACACACACACACTCTCTCTCACACACACACACAAGCGGTCAAACATGGCGCCTACTTAGACCCGCAACACAACAATATTTGGATCACATAAACTTAACGTACGGGAATAGAATCCACGACACGTTGCGAAGCAGCTAATTGCCCAGTCACTGTGTTAAGTACCTAGGTATTAGTGGTTGATATAAAAGTAATTAATTGCGTCATATCAGTTTGGTATTCTGTCAAAAAGTAGAGGCGTGTCTGTTCCACTGAAAGTAATTCGTAATCATTGATTTGTATTGACAGTTTTTTTGTAACTTGCACATAATTTTATAAGTATGCATTGTTTACAAGTTAAAAAAAATATTTCATCTGACTAAAACATATACCTATCTAGTTATAACTTTAAGAAGAATGCAGGCAATATTCAGTCTTCTTTCTTTAATAGATAGGTCTATAAATGATAAGGAATTAATAAGTAGGTAGATATATTATTATTTGACTCTACAACTCTATTAAGTGTAATGTAGCCAACTTGTGTATTTACTTTGGACAAATAGTAGCAGGGCGCCAGAAGTCAAAGGTGTGGTAGAGCCAAGCTTGGCTCTACAGCAGTAATACCACGGCCGCACAGAAATCCGAAATCCGGCGCGGAACAACACACAGCCCAAACCCTCCCTTATTCCAAAATCTCCTATCCCCTAATACCCAAAAGGTCGGCAACATGCTCATAACTCCTCCGTTGTTACGGGTGACCATGGGCGGCACTGATTGCTTACCATCAGGTAATATGTTTGCTCGTTTGCCAAACTATCACAATACATAAAATCATAGTCATTGAGAAGATCATTTTCAAGACTCAAAAACTTTGCACTACCTAGAACAGACAGCCCTATAGAGCCGATATTTAGCCGGTGTTGCGGGGCTAGCGCAATAAGGTACCACAGCCTCGGGCTAAAATAGCAGCAGGAACAGGGGTATTTAGTCAGTAAGAGTCTGACACTCCCCATCGTCTCACTATTGGCGAGACAATGATGATTTCCCCTTACACAAAAAAAGACTACCCTAACAACATTCCACAATAACTATTATCATCATATCACTTACGAAAAATTGTACCGATAAACCGAATGAATAGTTACTTACACGCAAAATAAAATACATAAAAATTCATGAGCGATGCGGGGTCAAACGTTATATAATATATTGAACCATTGCGTTTATTCCAACACAAGAAACTATATCAACAAAGAAACTATATCAACAAAGAAATATTACGACACATTTTGTTATCGTATTATTCAACTCTTCTTTTAATAATCATCTTGTAATAAACTTTCAACTTACTTGTTGTTGTTCAGCGCTCAGTCCAAACACGTATTCGTCGATTGGATAGTGTGACATGCATCGAGTACCGGTTTTACCTGTACATTTACGTAAAATATTCACGCCTAAACGGACAGCCATCGTGACGACCTCCCGCGTATAAAGTTAACTCGACACTGAACGGAAACAACAAACCGAGTAGTACCGACCCATTATCATTGGAAATATATCATTAAAATTATACTCTCCAGTCTGATAATAAAGACGCAATTCCTTTGACAAACAAGATAACGTGAAGGATTACGATAATTACTCATTTCGTGTTGGTTTTTGATAAAAATGGTTTTTTGATAGGTAACATCGAGAGCTATATAATCGTGATTCGTTGCCAGGGCCGCTATTAATTTAATGATAAGCATGTGCGTACTGTTTTTGGTATGTATTTTTATACAAAACAGTAGGCCACAATTAGGGATTTGAATTTAAATCAACAATTTAACGCGACATTAGCTAAAATGAGCCTCTAAGTATAGCTACAAAAAATATATTAAAGCAATATATTTAATGACATAATAATCATTCTCTTCTAAGGAGAGTTTCATAAGTAAATATTAATTATTATTTTTTATTAGAAACTAAATTCAAACTAAGTGTTACATAGATGATAATCTTATCAGTAGCGATAGAAAAGCAATCACTGTACATTACCCCTCCTCTATCTAAAAATCGCAACATATCAAAAATAACTCAGCAGTTTGCGAGATAAGTAAAAACCTACTGATTAAATAAACATCGTTATGAAAATGAATAAAACGCAAGTTCAATATCACTTTTATATTTATTTTACATTACCTTTAGAAGCACCTTTATTTAATAAAATTACAACAATTTATTATATTTAAAAACTCTTATAAATTAACAATACGTCCCTTCACATGATTACGTAATTAAAACAATATATATTATTAATAATGGAAATATAATTGATCTTTTGAATATTGGGTCATAACTTTTATGTGTATAAATAAACTATAAAATATAATTAAAACATAATATTAATCAAATATCTTAATATAAAACAAAGTTACGTCGTTTAAAACGCAAGAACGGCTGGACCGATTTCCATTAAATTTGATTTATTTTAACAATAATATTTTTTGGATTAGTCATAAATATAATGTCAGGTAAAATATTATTGTCTTGTGTAATAATAATTACGTACTATTAAAGTAAATTATTTGAACATTTGTGTAAATAATTAAATAAAAATAAAAGAAATGCATAAACTTACTCAATGTTATAGTAAGTATAAGGAATGTACAAATCAGGAATAAATAAAAAAGTATACAGATTTTAAATAAAAAAAAATATTGCACAGTATATTATTTCGTTGCACAAGTCTAGAATTTTTAAGTACAACCCACCCGTGCGTATGGATACGCGAAAATCATCGTTAAAACGTATACAATAAAGACTGTTATCACAAACGGGTAGATAATAAAAAAAGAAATAAATAAAACGATATGTCAAGTTATATAAAACATTAAATTTACGTATCGCCCCATATAACCGTCTAAGTTAATTTTAATTGTAATTATAAATCTCACTTGTATAATAAAGAATTATATTCTAACTTATAAAATACTCGTACTATTTGATTTCATCAGTATTAGGCAAAATTGTATTATATTAGGAGCAGATAATTATGGTCAAAGAACACTATAAAAAATCTGTAATTAATTGGCTGAACAAGGGGTCGACGCTAAGAATCTCCTCTCCCGGTAACAATTTACTAAGCCAAAGCAATATTTTCTTATCAATACTAATATTATAAAGAGGTAAAATTAGTAAGTTTGTATGTTTGTAAGTTTGTATGTAAAGGGTAATCTTTGGAACCGGTCTAGTCGGATTTCCAAAATTCTTTCACTGATAGATAGCTGCAATGTTCCTGAGTGCTATAGTCTATAAAACATCACGCTATGATCAAATGGAGCCGAGCAGCGGGTGAAACCGCGCAAGAGTAGCGAGTTATGAATAACCACATGTTTGTTTTAATTTCTCATCGATTAATGTAGTGCTCTTGGAGAGAACCTATGTTCAACCATGGACGGAAACTAGAAAAAATTGTATTTAGAAACTTTTTGTTGTCCATCCACACTTGTCTATTATTTTTTATATGTAACTTTACGTTACATTCCTGGATGCTGTAGGCAGAGGTTCTACATGTTATAATACAATTGAACATAATTATTATTACCCACACGAATTTACAACCGATTCTCCATCAACAAAAACCAATGTTCCCTTGTAAAAAATAAAAGCAGAATATCTTATAAGTATATAAACTCTAGCGTAACGTTTGAGGCCTTTATAATTGTGACAGTAAAATAATACTTATGTTAATTTTACTTATTAGCTGCTTGTTTTGAATTTAGTTGGTGTCCATCTTGGATTTCAGTGACTGGTAGTATTCGGAGAGCACTTTCCATGCTGTGGGAGCCATGAATCCTTTTGGCGGCTCCTTCCCGGATTTGGCCAGGCCTAGAAAATATTTTAAATTTAGATATTTTTTCTAGAATGTTAGAATGTGTTTGTAAGTAAGAACCGTTGTTGTATTTAAATTTAATCACGCATAAAACGATCGCCATAAATTCACAAAAAATATTTAGTTTAAAAAAATAATTTCACAATTACCTACAATATTTCAAAATCAGACGATCCTTTAAAATATTTTAAGTACCTACTATACAAAAAAATAAGGTTCAATTTTAAATGCAACCGATATAGAACTTACCTCGCATCCTAGTTCCGGAAATAAAGTCGAAATCTTCCTTGCGAGTGGGGTCGAAGAACGCCATCTTGCCGATCGATGTGTCGTAGGCGGCCACGCGGAATGGAATGATCTAGATAACAGACATTTTGTTATACTAAGAAAGAAAAGGACCGGCACAAAGCCGGCGTGAAACAACGTTTTCGATGTGTTTTGTAAACTACCCCTTAAATTCTTAATCCCCCGATTGATTGTCTGCCATTTTTGGCATCATTAGGGATGGTGCTCTCCTTCATCGGAACGGCAAAAGATCACCCGACGATACCTAAGCCACGAGCACTCGCAACACCAAAAGAAAACAAGTGCTTTGCCGGCTTTCTTTTTCGAAGGAAATCCCACATCATTTACATTTTCTTGATGTGTCTGATTACAATAATTACTTACTAATTTACATATCTTTCTTTAAGTAATGCTACTTAAAACCTTATTTTTCACAAATTACAGTAGCACATCACTGGTAGGTATAAGACTCTCCATTTTTCTATACATCCCTCACATTGTGATGAAAATAAGACACCTCATACCCAAAATGTTTTGAATTCTATTGTTCACTCACAAAAGTATCGGAACACACCTGAACTGCCACGAACTACTACAATACTCCGTCCACCTAAAGGTTGTCTGGTAAAGACCGCTTTTAGCGGTAAGGCCGCCTTTGTTCTAAATTAATACATGCTGTTATTTTTGTATAAGCATGTCAACTATATTCAACTTATTTATTTATTTTTACCTCGAGTTCGTTAAGTCCAGGCGCCATCTTTAGGACCATGGCCCCATGCCTGGGGTCGTACAGGTCCCCTCCCCCGGCGGGGTGGGGCAGTCCGGCGGGGTCACGGCCCACTATGTAGTGGTTGGCACCCGCGTTCATGCGACACTTCGCGTGCCATTGAACCTGGATAATAAAATGTATCATAGTTGATTAGCTGATATATTAAAATTGGATATTATTGGTAAAACACAAAAATGGAGGAGGAAACTTATGGGTAAATGACATCTTTCAATATTTGATTCAATCCATTACGCAGAGTAGAATTTTCAAGATCTTTTCTATTTTGCTATTTTTAATTCTTCTGTAGGGTCTTTTTATACAGCCTCCAGGCTTCAGAAAATAAGTAGTTCGTTTAGGTGTCAATGTATACGCTTTTACAATAAAATTCCTAGCGATATTCAAAACTTGAGCCTCAATAAATTTAAAAGTGTAATAAAGGCTAAACTTTGCTGTAAAGCATTTTATAAAATAAAAGACTACTTAGAGGATAGTCAGGCTTGGGAATGAGCCGCTGTAATGTCTGCACAGGTCATGTTGACATGTTTGTAACATAAGTTACACTTTTATATACAATTTGACATTACGTTTATTTTTTTTTTATACAATGACATGATCACCTATTGTGACATTTTTATTTTTTATTTGACATTTTTTTTTATTGACATTTTTATTATTTTATATTATTGTGGTAAGGACCGTGTGAGACTTGTCGTGCTTTTTGATCACCAGTCATCTGCGTTCTGACAGTTTGAGTACTTGCGCGACCCACCCAAATGTTCTTTTGATCGGTATTGTTCGTCGGACAACTCAACAGCACTAGCTATACTGGTTGCAAACTGACACTTGCGTGCCTGTCTTCAGAACGGGTCCACTTAAACTGGTGTGGTTCTTTCCTCAAAAGACCACTACAGAATGAACTTGCACGGTTCTCTCACATTATGTTATTTTATATTGTCTGGACTTGAAAAGAGACTGACGTCTGTCTGAGTTTGTTTCGGCATTTCTTCTCAGAGTAGTCAGTTAGGAAATGCCGGCTTCATCTAGTTTTTCACATATAATTTGACGTGTAAAAGTTTTATGGCCTATTTGCAAAAATAAATTCATTGTTTCATTGTTTCATTGAATGTACTCTTATCTGTTACAGTTAATACCCACAAATAAAATTTTCCATAAGTAACTTAGGAATAATATCCTCTAATAATCTATTTTTATTTATTTAGTATTTAGTAGTAATAATATTAGAAGTGACTTTAGAACATAGAAAATGTATCTTTGAAAAAAAAAATCTGAAATTCCTTATAAATATTCTTTGAAAAATAACCATTATCAGCCAATTTCCTCACCTCTGTGGGTCCAGCATACATCATAGGTGAGGGGAAGATGGCAAGCACGGTGGACTGAGGGTCCAGAACTCCTTCGTTCAGCACAGCCTTGTGCTGGTTGATCCTCACGTCTAAAGGAACATCATCGTCCTTTGTCCATCCACCTGAGAATTAAGGACGACATTATTATTATTTTCTTATTTAATATAAGCTGTAAATGAAAATACTTGTTCGTTTTGTTCTATTGAGACAAGTAAACTATTAATGCACACAAATTCTTGAAAATGAAAGAGCTATTAAATTCTGTTTGTTCGTTTTAAGAATAATTACTTGCGATTTCG